GGGGGGTTGTTTTAGGGGTATTTTGCTAATTCAGGACGTGAAAATTATGCATTTCAATGCGGTTTCTAATCTTTGTTGCCATATTTTTAATACGGAGAACCAGCATGAATGGTAACTTACAAAGCTGCTTGCTTTTTATTTTAACTTTTGGTTGCAGATTTACCCAGTTCTCCTGTAGGAAACACATTCATTTCATACTTTTTTTCCCCACTAGTAGGTTGTCCAGACGTTTCACGTTATGCTGTCCAAAGCACCCAGTCTCTTTTCTATTAATATATTCATATCATACACCAAAGAAATACTGGATATCCGTTTGCCTAGAGCCACTTTCAGCCATACAGAAGGGTCGCATTGTTGCAATAACCTTCATCACTTACAAAGGCACCATATTTTTAAGGTCAGTGAGTTTCACTTTGAGCTAGTTTAATGAAGTTGTGTGTTCTTCACACTATGTGAGTTTAAACCCTTTTTATTTTGTGCTTATGGTGGGCTTTTTTTCTGTTACTTTTTTTTTTAAGGGCAGAAAAGTTGATTAAATTCCCCGCAGAAATGTTATTAATACGGTCAGGCGGTGTTGTAAAACTACAGGAGGTGTGATATAGACAGATGCTTTCACTAACAAGTGCCCTCCCATTTCCTTCTGTTTCCCAGATCTGGATTACTTTGCTTAAGGATGTTTTGCCCAGCCAGGCTTCAGAAATGGATGGTTTACATTTTATACAGTTGACACTTTAATTATTGGGGAAATATATAAGAACATCCCCTCCCCTGCCAGCAGATGCTCCCTGCCACTCTCCCCTACAATCTCTTATAGCAGCACTTCTGTTGAGGAGACTCCTCACAAGAGAGGTCCTGTACAGACAGGTACTGGCAGGCAGTGGTGAGCAAAATGCATGTGTGGCATTACTTGGTGTTTTTGTGTGTTCTGTTGATGCAGAGTCTAGGCTTTGCTCACCTTGCTCTTTCTGTCTTGGTGGAATGGGTTAAGGAAGCATTATTCCTCTAGCCACAGAAATGAGATTTGTGGCACCATTGGATGCCGGTTGGGCACTACTTCACTGCTCTGTTTTGAGGAGTGCTGGAAGAAGGGCCTCTTGCACTGCTGGTCTGCCCCAGAGATGAGATGGCTTTATGTAGGTAAGACGCTCTTCAACCAGGGGCACTGTTCATTAGGCCTGCTTACCCTTCCTCTCCCATAGACGGCCATTCTTTCCACTTGACCTCGGACATGAGGGTGTGGTGAGAAGACTTGGTTGGAAGCCTCCTCTACCCCATCTCTGACTAGGGGCTTGCTTTCTTTATAAAACCAAAGACCCTTACATTTACACTATTGGAACATAAACTGTTAGATCAGGTGTTTTATCCTCAGCCATGTCTGCTTTGTTCAGCCCAAGACTTCATTTGGGGAAATGGAACAATGAAGTGAATGGTCAAGATTGCTGGTCTGATGCAGTCTCAATCAAGGCTGCACAATGTCCCTAGACCCTCTGATAGGGCAAGACTTGAACCCTTCCCAAGGGTGGGGGAAGCCAGGATGTGGCTGCTATTCAAATTGAGGCACTTTACTAGTTGCAGCTGATCAGATCCCTGGTGTTTATGAGCAATCAGCTGATGCTCCTGAGTACTGTATACTGGGCCACTAGTTTCTCACCTCAGATTCATTCTGGTCTCCATTGAATTTTTTTTTTTTTTTTTTGCACTGGACTCTACTGTGTAAATATCCTTCTATGTAGATGTTTCTGTCACAGTTTCATTTCAGCCTTTGTGCTACTTGATTAGAATTGTTTTCATGCAAGCGCAAGTCCCGGAATCCTAGGGCCAGGCCAGACTGAATGCATCTGATCCTGGATGCAAAGAAGGGCCTGGTCTGGGATGGGGGAGGCCTTTGGGGAATCTCGCATGCTGTAGGGGTAGCCCTTCCTTGTCTCAGATCCCCTTTGCTGGAGGTTTTCAAGAAGAGGCTGGACGGGCATCTGCCTGGGCTAGGTTAATAGCAAATCCTGCGTGCGCAGGGGGTTGGACTAGATCAGGCTTGTCCAATCAAGACTTACACAATGGGGAACTCCCTACTTGAGAGCACGG